GACAAAAGACCCTCTAAGGGGGCCTCCCCTGGTGGTGCAGTGGTTGAGGGCTGGGTTGCGAAGCTGCCCGCAGCCTCTGCAGCGCCAGTTCGATTCCCAGCTGCCAGCGAGGGTCCCACATGGCGTGCAGACCTCTCCTGCTGTGCCCGCTGCTCCCCTCAGCAGTGTATTTTGTCAGTCTGCCTGTTCCGTTCCCCGCTCTGGTGAATTCTCTCACCCTCCCGCACTTCTGACTGTGCCCAGTGCTTGTATAAATAAATCAATAAATCTTTAAAAAAAAAAAAAAAGACCCTCTAAGGATTTGTAAGAATATGCCCCATATATCTCCCTGTTCAACAACAGTTTCAAAGAATCTCATGGACATTGTCTCTCAGTCATCTGCTAAGTAAGGTAAAGAAGAGTTGATCTAGAATATAAGCTATAGTTTAGTGGCGTAGAATATAAATGAAAACACAAAAAGTTCACAAAGTTCTGAAAAAATTATATCAGCTTGGACTGGAAGGACAAGTGGAATAGTACAAATGAAATAAGGTCTTTGACCCCTGATCATTTGTACAGGAAGAAAGTAGGTGAACAGATAGTCAATGGTAAACAGACTTCTTTTTATGGAAAAGGAAGAATGACTCAGAGGGTAGAACCAAGAGCCACTGAGAAAAATTCATACACCATAAGTCTGAGCCTTAAGAAAGGAACTGTGCTGATTAGATTCAAAATTGCTACAGACTAGTGACTGCCACGTGCCCTGCTTTCCTTGTGCTTGAATCAGAAGGTCAATTACAGTCTTCCATGCCTGTCCCCTAGTTTACATTGAGTGTGTAGGAGACTCATAACATGTGTTCGTGTTCACAGATCACCATTGCTGAGAGTAAAGATAATCAAGGACCTGTACTATAAGAACAGCACCAGGAAAACCAATGCACACCTGAACTAGCCTTGGAGCTTATGTGGCAATGAGTTGATATCTAGAGATATCTGTTTGCACACCCAGCCAGCACTCCATGAGGAAATCCGAGCAGGCTATAGAGAGAACATAGGACCCCTAGCCTATAACCTCAGCCATGTTCTCAGCCATCATTAACTTGCCAGCCGTGTGACTGAGGCACATGTTATTGGCTCCTCTACCCCCAATTGAAGAGTCCCAGCTCATACCATGTGATACAGCCAAGCTGTGCTTGTAAATGAATCCTGCCAAACTTGCAGATTTGTGAGCAAAACACATGACTGATGTTCCCCAAAGACAGTACACTTTGGGGAATCTTGCTAAATAGCAATAGATAACTGAAACAGACATTACCTCCATCAGAAGCTCTCCTCAAACTCCAAGGGGGGGTTTAAATGTTCCTCCTTTCTGCTCCCAAATCTATCTCTGTGCAACATGCTCTTAACACTTATTATACTCTTACTAGAATTAATTGCTCACTTGTCTGTGAGTTCAAGGGCAGACCTATGTCTTTTTGGAAAAGTAACTCTTAAAATGTTACTTTTAGCCCATTCTCTCTTCTTCTTTTGGAACTTAGATTAGATAAGACAGAATTTCTCAGTGTATCCTCCAAGACTCTTAGCATCTCTCTGTCTCTCTATGCAACACTCTGAAAACTTCTTAACATAATTTCCAGCTCATTAAATATCTCTTCATCAGAATTGAATCTGCTATTCCATCCATCCATTATGTTTTAAATTTTACATTGGTTAAATTTTACATTGTGTGTGTGTGTGTGTGGGTGGGTGGGTGGGGGTGTGGGTGTGTGAGTTCTAATTTTTGTGAGTGTTTTTTTTTTATCATTTCTACTACTTTTGTCATTTTCTCTCAAATGTGCTAGGTCATTTCTTACAGTTTCTAGTCTTCAAAATACCTTCAAGCTTATGTTTGATTTATAATAGCAGTCATTTTTTTTTTTTTAGTCTCATCCGGTAACGCCGATACTTGAATTTCATGGATGGATCTTGTCTTTCTTGTTTCTGTTGATTCCCTCTTACTGTTCTTTTCCTTGTGGGCTTAATTATAGTAAAATGATCATTTTAAATGGAAAAAGGTATTTTACAGGAATTATTCAGGGGCCTATGAAGACAGTAAATTTCTCTCTAGCTGGATTACATTTGCTTCTGTTTGACGCCTGAGGGTATGACTTTAAAGTAAATTCAGAGATTGATGTTTTTGGACCAGGGAGCCAATAAATTCAGGGAGCCAATCTGTGCAAGGACCAGTTTGTGGTAATAACTCCTCAGGAATTTTCCCCATTGTTCTGCTCACAACAAACCATCTTTCCTTGCAGTCTCCTTCGGGTGAGAGATACTGGCAGAATTATTTCTGATTACTGTAAGAGTGTGGTGCCTGGAGGAAGGATTTCCTGTTAGAGTGTTCACACTGGGCAGGTACAGAGATCTGTTTTCTGCAGACAAACCCGCAGAGGCAACAAGTACCAAAGTTCAATATCAGGTTCAGCAAACTCCCTCAGGAGAAACTGGCTTTAGGGTTCTATCTGCCACCCACCCTGGCCCATGCGTTAGCCTTTGCTACCTACTGATAGAAGACATTCCTAATTTACATGTTATTCCATTTATATAATCTTCCTGTCACCTTTTTGATGCTTTTAAGAAGTTTTTCTTTTCCCTATTTTTAGTCCAACACATCTCTTTGTTTTCAGCAGCAAAGTCATTCTTGGTTTCACCAGCCCAGTTACCTGGACCCTTGTCCTTTTCACCCCTCCATCGTCAGCATGCAGATGACTGGCACACGAAGGAACTCAATTAGTTTTTGATTATTTAGTGAATACATCCCTGTCTTCTTTGACTCATTCTTCCTTCCACCTCCTGCCACCTGTGCCCAAATTAAAGCTCTTTTCCATTTTATTACAGACGTACCACCATTCTCCTACTTTAAGCTGTACCTCTATCTCCCCCCAATTTCCTCTCCAATGGAAGATTTTTCATTCTCATCAACTCACTTTGTTTGGGATCAGCATTAACTTCATTCTCTGTGATTGCTTCTGGAGCCTCACTATTTTTCTGACTTTATCCTCATCTGAAGTTTTTTATCCTATCACAATATACTTCTGATGATATTGCTGATACATGTGCACTACAGTCAGACTTGGTCCCAATTTCTATTCTATTTCATGCCCTAATAATTCAGCAATAGGACACAGTTTAATAACACAAGTTGGGCACCCAAATTTAAGTTGCAGATCCACTCCTTATTACTAAGTAACTGTGGGAATTTCTCTAAGATTTCAGTGCCTCTAAACTTCATCTAACCTTATTATTCTAAATAAACTAACAATTCTAAATAGCCTTGCTATTCTAAAATAAACTATGCTAATCATGCTTGCAAAAGGAGAATAATCATATGAATACCTTAAGGTTTGTAAACATTGTATGAGATAATATATATGAAGAACTTAGAACACTATTTGGCACTTAGATAATACTCAATATATTTGATTTTCATGCAACAAATCAACTTCAATGCTGCTCAAAAACCCATTTGCTGGTTTCTATAAATCCCTCGTAATTATCTAAAATGGCATTTCTGAATTTTAATTTATACCTTCTCAAGATCTAGCCCTGCTTTCAGTCAATGACTTTTATCTTAACCCAGAAATTGAATCCATGTGGAGCTACATATTTCAGAATTATATTCCTAATCATACTCATTCTCTCTTCCCTCTGGGGGGACCAATGTCTGTGTTTTCTTAGACTAGCTCAGCTTTAACTTCTACCCATTCTGTTCTCTCTTCATTCCTTACTTCCCATCTTTTGATCTCCACAGTAAGTTCCTTCAACCTCTAACCTTGACCTAGCCTTACTATTCTAAAATAAACTATGCTCAGTGAAATAAGTCAGAAGTGAAAGACAGTTACTGGATAGTTTCACTCATCTGTGGAGTATAAATAACCAAAGAATCCAAGCTGGCAAAGCACACAGCAAAATAATTCTTGGACTCAGTGAAAAATATACTGATTACCATAGGGAGTGGATGGAAAAAAGTTGGGGAGAGAGGATAGGAAGGAGATTTGGTGGAGGGTAAGTGAAGCATGTGCACATATGCAAGTATGAAAATGTGGCCCCAAATTGTATAGTTCTGTAAACAATTGATAACCAATAATAATAAAAATTTAAAAACCCTGCCATTTCATGTTACCATCATATCTCTGCTTTAAATCTTCAGGAAAGGGTAATCTGTACTCTTCACTTTCATTTTCTTCCCATTTCTGACATTTTCTCTGTTAACTTCCAGAAATCTGATTTTATTGCCTCACTTCTAAAATTCACTTTTCAAAAATAAGCAGTAATTAGATTGTCAAACCAAAAAAGCCTCTCTTCAGAACTTGCTTCAATTTCTCTGAGGTGCTGATATGTTGACCACCCACTTGAAAACTCCTTTCACGTGCTCTCATGTCACACCCCTGCCTGCTTTCTTAGAGGTAGTGGAGAAGTAGCCAAAAGCAAATGGGGAGGTTGTCAAGACTCATGTTCAAGCAAAGATTCCCCCCCCCCGAACATATTAATCTTAAAATAAGACACTTCCAATTTCCTTACAGGGATAATGTTCCCTTGCCTTTTTCACACATAAATAATCTGAAAATACCAAGAAAGGTATATAATATACAAAGTTGATTTGATAACTTGAAACAGGATGCAGAAAGTACATCAAAAGCACAACTCCTGACAGCAAATCTACTATGAAGTTCTGAAGGCCCCAAAGCTTTATAAATGACCTAGAAATTTTTCCACCTATTAAAAGATTTTCAAGTGACTTCACCAAGGCAGTAACACCCCCATGAGGTTCTTTCTAGAAAGTTAAGAGGCTTCACATAAAATATCTCCTAACTTTACCAAAACACATTTCAAAATGTAAAAACCAAAAAAGCAAAAATCAATTATTCTATCAAAGCACTTTCATTTTTTAAAATATCATGGGAAAGCAAAAGATTAATCATATAGCGTTATATATATAATCATGCCAATTTAATTTACTTAATTGTGAGCAAAAATATTACCAGTTCTTGGTGAAGGAGCCCTTGCAATTTCTAAGGAGCACGGTTTCTTTGTAACTGCAGTGTCCGTGAGATCACATAGAAAGTTCTCATTTTCTGAAGGAAATGTATCCAGAGAAGCAGATGGTTCGATTTCCATAGTGTAATTCCTCTTCTTTGGATAGGACTCCTGAAAGGAAGGAGAAAAAATAAAAATAACTTTGTGATAAAGACACAGCCTGTTTAATTTATAAAAACTAGAAAAGTTAACCAGGTTCATCAGTTCTTCTGAAACTGATTGAGAAAAGATGATTCATCTGATTGATTAAGTTATGCAATCATGTAACCTTAATATTATCAGCGACCTTTTTGAAGGGTCCTTACAGTTTAGCTCCCCTGATTGTACAATGAACTAGAAAAGTTCATCATGAACTTGCTATTACTCTTGTCATGATCTCTTTTTTTTACTCTCTGTACTTTCTAGTTGTGGAATGAACTGGTTAACTGATCACCAATCATTCAAAGACTTTCTTCCTTTGCTTGATTCCTGGAGACAACCACATGACTCAATTTGGGCCAGTTATAAATACAATGAAATTTGCTGGATACATCTAGGGAAAAAAAGCAAGTCAGCTTTTTTATTGTATATCACTAATTGGGTTTTCTGTCATTTAGAGGTAAATGTAGTCTCAACACTAATATTTCTCTTCCTGAACAACGTTAACACACTAAGGTTACTTTTACCAGGTTAAGAAAAATTATCTGATTCTGTATTACTGAATCTTCAACATAGTCTAAAAAAAATAGAATTCATTTTATAAGATCATTTCTTATACAAAGTATTAGAAGTCAATAAATATTTATTGGGTATGTATCTTATACACACAGACACATATATGGAGAGTTGGAAACTACTAAGGCATAACCTTGATGTCAGGAAGCTCACAGTTTATTGGAGAAGAAAAACAGATTATCTGCATGATGAATTTCATAATTAATCATGTTATGTTTTAGATACTTTGCTGCACCATGAAGTAAACTTCACTATCCAAAGGAAAAGACATAAGAAAAAAATAAACTTACTTTCAAAAACTTCTGAGATAAATCCAAGGGTTGGTAAAGATTTAGTATAAGTTTCTATTTTGCTATAATGATATTTACAGTATAATAGAATAAGTATTCAAGGTCAGTGCAATTGCTTTCGGACCATGCCAGACCCTCACACATCAAAGAGTCAATTATGTTCACTTGACTCTATTGAAAGCAGGAAATTGGGAGTAATTTATTTTTAACAACAAAGGGTGACAAAATAGGAAGCATCCAGAGGAAAGCAATCAGGATGGTATATGATTTAAAAACCATGTCACAGAAGAAATGATTAAAGGAACAGCAATGGCCTATCTCAGAGAAGCCTAACAGTAGCTTAATAGTGTTCTCAACATATTTGAAAGGCTATCCCTCAAGAGCTATCCCACAAAGTGGGGAATGGGAGAAGCTGCAGTGGTAGATTTATTTTAAAGTTTTTAAAAGGCAGAGCAAGGACCAATGCTTATAAGCAAAGAGGGCAAATTTGGGTCAATGCAAAAATAATTTCCTATGAATTAATTATACTGCTTAGCTTTTTAAAAAAATACACTAATAAATTAGCTTTAAATATAGCACTAAAAAGCAATAGAAGGAAATCCTTATTAGTGGAAATCTTTCAGTAGAACTATCTATTGATAAAATTGTGCATAATACATATTGTACAGGGCATACACCAGATGACTATAAACTTCATGAAGATTGGAATAATTATGTCCTTTTTAGATGCAAATTACTTTGCTTTTCAGTTTGGTTACTATCATTGTTTACTGTTTTGTACATTAAAAGTGAAAGATATCAAGATTATAACAAGACTATAAACAGTCTCTAGCTTAAATACCAGTTCCTCCCACATTAAATTAATCAGAACAGTCCATTCTTCACAGATTTGATTAAGATAGAATTTGACTATGTTTGTGAAGAACTATGAGTATTTTAAAGGTCTTGAAAACTACTGAAATTTAACCACAGTGTAAATGAGTTTGTTTTCCCCTAAAAAGGTAAGAAACAGACATTTATTAGAGAAATATTAGAAAGTAAAGAAGAAAAAATTACATGAAAACCCAACATTCTCACATAATGAATAGTCAACTTTCAATGTATCTCCTTTACTGCTTTCCCCTGTCAATATGTGTGTGGATATGTGGGTTTGTGTAAAGGAAAGAAAAAGTATTTTAAACAACAATGAAGGACATCCTCTGGAGTAAGTGTCATCTCTTCTCACTGGGGAAGAAATCCTTCCTACATGGCTTCCTTATGGAAAAGAAGTGCCCCAAGGATGGAGATGGTTAAACAGAGCAAAACTGGGTTTTGAAACAGAATGTTTCATGTTTTCAAAAAAGAGGGACATTCAACAGAACACCTGGCAAGCAGCCTTTAAAAGAAGATATGTAAGGCCTCCCTGGTGGTGCAAGGGGTTAATACGCAACCTAGGAAGCTATCCGCAGCCACTGCAGCACAAGTTCGATCCCCAGCCAGGGAGCTACCCACATGGTGCGGCAGACCTCTCCTGATTCACCCGCTGCTCCCCTCAGCAGTGTCTTCAGTCCATCTGCCTGTTCTGTTCCCCACTCTGTCTCTGGTGAATCCTCTTACCCCCCCACACACACCTCTGGCCTGTACCCTGGCTGTACCTTGTATGCATAAATATATAAATTTAAAAAAAAAGTAAAAGAAGCTATGTGAAATGACAAAGCACTGAAATGAATCCATGGATTCCAATACTCAGTGCAAGGAACAGAATACGACCATGGAAACCTTCTCCTTCCCCCTTGTCTCTCCCTTTCCATTCCCACCCCCTCCCTTTCCAGCCAGGGCAAATCCTGTCCTGAACTTTCAGCTTATAATTCCCTGGATTGTTGTTAAAAATACAACTATATACATATGTATATACATATAAATATAGTTATATAACTATAAATATTATATATTATGTGTGTGTGAGGTTGTTCAGTACTGCATGCTTTTAAACTTCATATATGTAATATAAAACGTTCTTGTTCTTCTGTGACTGTTCTCAATCAATAATGTTTCTGTGTTTCATTTACTTCCAAGGTGGCACAGAAATCCACTGTATAGGTATTCCATAGCTCACTTATACATTCTCCTGACAATGGACTTTTAAACATTCCCAAGGTGTTTTGTCATTTAAAGCAATGTTGCTATGAGTATTTCTGTACAAAGGTATATAGTTAACGAGGGTATTGTTACCTATTCCAGTAGTCGGGGAACAGAGTGTCAAGAACAAATGAAAAATGAGAAAAGTGAATGAAATCAGCGTTCTACACAAACAGGAATTTGAAGTGGGAGGTAATCATAAGAACTGGATTTCCTATAGATTCTATTGAAATATTGAGGCTAGATTGTGATTTCTCCAGTGATGAATATTAGTGTTCCATAAATCTCATCTAAAGATGCTAAATATAAACACATAAAAGCCTCCTATTTAATGCTTTAATTTACCTCTAATAATGCATTGTGGCAAATATATGTTTACATAATAAATGTAAGTAGCAATATACCACAATCATACTTTCTTTGGTCAACATTACTGTATTGAAATTTTAATGTTTTATTTTTAAGGGCATATTATTTTTTCTTATTTTTCTTTATTGAAGAAGCATTGTTTACACCACTGTGTATGTTTTAGGAATACAGGCTCACACCTCTTCAAATGTATGTCATCACACCACATATACCACCAAAGTATCAACAATTCTCCACCACAGTGCAAGACCCCCCTCCATGTTTACTCTCACTCCCCCGCAACTGGTAACCTCAGTGCTGCCATTAGAATCCAAGGGTTTGTTTAGTTTAATGTTTCTTTGTTTTTGTATCTTTATATTTTACATGATTGAAAAGATCAGTATTTGTCCTTTTTCTGATTTATCTCATTTCATGTAATGTCCTCAAATTCCACCTATATAGTCACAAATGGCACAATTTCATCTTTTTTGTTTACAGCTAAGTAGTATTCCATTGTGTATATATACCACATCTTCCACTCCTCTTTATCCACTCATCTTTCAGTGGGTACTTAGATTGTTTCCATATCTTGGTTATTGTAAGTAGTACTGCAAAGAAGGTAGGGGTGCATATCTTTTCAAAATAGTATTTTTATATTTTGGGGGTAGATACTTAGGAATGAAATTGTTAGATTATATCATAGAGCTATGTTTAATTTATTGAGGAAATTTTGTGCTATTCTCCATAGACGCTGCAACAATTTACATTCTATCAAAAGTATATAAAGGTGGGTTTTTACCCTTCCATATCCTCACCAATGCTTGTTTCTGATCTATCATATTTAGACTAAAGAAAGTGCAAGTCTCCCCTGCCTATGTGCTAATTAGAATCAGGAACAATCTGGCTTAGTAATTTTATAAAACAGGCTAACTGTCTTATATTGACCATCCTTTGTATGTCTGTCCTGATTTTATCCATCAAAAGTGCTGAAGGATACTTGGCCTTTGACTTCTGGATAAACTTATCAACAATCAATAAGCAGAGGTATGGGTACAGGCATTTCTCATAAGTATCAGTTATGTGTTTGTTTTTTTATCAGAAGTAAGATGACTTATAGGTTTTTCTGAGCTACTTTCATGTGGCATCTCTCTGAACTTGCCACTTAACCATAAGGGGAAGCTGTGGCAACTTCATTAAAACTGCAGGAGACCATGCCTGGTATACTCAGTCTGGTACTGGGGTCCACATTGGAGGATGTGCGAAACCAAATTGACTGTTTTCTATGGATAAGGGTGAGCAAATGTTTACTATCAAACCCATGTCATGTGAGAAAATACTGAAGAATAAAAGGTACAGGAAATATGTATCACATCAATTAGAAAAGTAGAAGAGTGATTAAAATTGTTTTCTATTTGTAAAGATGATAACAAGGAGACATATTTGGGCTCAAGATGAGTTTTCTAACAATTAGAGGTTTTGCTTAGCAATGGTTCTCTGCCATTGGATGTCTTCAAGCTGAATCTGCTCAACAAAACCCAATTCTCCAGAGAACAGAAGATGGTGGTTTGACTTAGATGAGCTTTAAGATGTCAGGACATAAGACAATGGGAACAGAAATATGACACAAGCTACTTACACACT